TAAGTTAAAAAAGTGACGATTTCAATTTCCCTATATAATTTTTTGTTGTTCCCGGATAGAAATATACATGTACCAATATTTTAAGTATACATGTTTTCTTTACTTTTTTAAATCAACGCATTCAAGATTGTGACTGTATAAGATCATACATATAAAACAAAATCATTTCTACGCTTTTGAAATGCATTTCGAATATTTTAATGTTTCCTCAATAAATTAGCAATACAATTCAAAATATTAGCTCATATATCTGTCTCCCAGTTGTTCATGAAGTGAAATAAGAAGTACGATAAGGGTTCGTGGTGACACATGAACTAATAATCATATTTAATTATAGCTATTTTTATCATTAAAAAATAAAAATGTATGTATAAGATCATACATATAAAAAAAAAATCATTTCTACGCTTTTGAAATGCATTTCGAATATTTTAATGTTTCCTCAATAAATTAGCAATACAATTCAAAATATTAGCTCATATATCTGTCTCCCAATTGTTCATGAAGTGAAAAAGGAAGTACGATAAGGGTTCGTGGTGACATATGAACTAATAATCATATTTAATTATAGCTATTTTTATCATTAGAAAATAAAAATGTATGGTTTAAATATTTCCATACTCGGATTTTCATAACCTTTACGCTAGAACAGGAAGAGTTTGTAAGTATGAAATAATTTCTAGTGCTATATTTTTTTTAGATGAGAGATATGTTTACAGTTTTAGCATGTTTTCTGTTGTAAATTTTACACAATTTGTTTATATTTTCTTATTCTCAGTTAAGATAAGTCGCTAAGACAAATTCGTTTTCGCTCTTACCCAAAATGGAATTTACTGACCCCATATATATTGTTTTAGGTCACTAACACACTGTGTATCTAATATTATATGTCGCAGTGACTTTTATCGACATCTTAATTATTCATACTAACACTAGCTTTTCATCATTATTTGAAGCGATGATAAGAATTGTCAAAAAAATAATTATTTTGGACTAAAAAAAAATATTTTCCTCCAAAATTGGTTAACCCGAGTTTTATCCTTAAAACAATTTATGAAAAATGAAGTAAAACCACGGTATACATTTTGTATCTGCAATATAAGGCTCTACATGTTTAATGGTATCATGTTATTTTACCAATGAAGGGCTGAGTTCTCACTTTGGAAGGTTTTGATTGGCTTAGGTGAACCATTGACAGAAAATATTGAATCTTGATATGTTTAACTAGGATTTTTGGCAGTCAGACAATGTGCAGCACTTCTTATTTGTATAATTGATTTGTTCTTAGATGATTTCAATTCTTGTTTTGCCTTAAACTAGTATTATGGTAGTCTGCACTGTAAAAATGGTGATTAGAACCTAAAAAAATCATAAACCACTATTTGAAACACCAAATATCATCTAAACACGTTTATTATCTAAACAAGTTTAGCTTTTTCAAACAAAAGAGGGACGAAAGATACCAGAGGGACAGTCAAACTCTAAATGTGCTTAGGCATTTATAGGCGTTTGGATAATGTACGCACTTGAATACATATTGGTATGATTTGAAGTTCCTTTTAATAATCCCCCTGATTGTTATGAATTGTCTCCGTTTGCATCTAACAAATTTCTATTGTTAAAATTTATGATAACATTTACCCACAGAAATTTCCTAGACTAGCTCTTCATATGAATAAGTATAAACCAAAATAATCATGACGACTTACATTTTATCACTCTTTCTTTTTGTACTGACAAAGGAATACTTTTAAGATGGCTTTGTTAGAGTATTTACAAACACATTGTATATAATGTACGAACCTGATTGCCAAGATTACTGCCAATGTACTATTGAAGTAAACATATTGGTTTTTCTTTAATTGTTTAACATTTCATACCGATATAACATGTTACTTTTATTATTCTTCCCTTAGTTTATTTATTTTGTATTTACATTGTATCATAGGTCAAATTGATTTGTTCAGTGTATGTATAATGGTGTTAATATGTCCTTTGATTGAGTTAAGCTATTTCAGTTGATATTTTATAGTGTGTCTTTCTATGTTGTGATGTTACACTATTGTTTCAGAAAAAGGGTGAAGGTTTGGTACCATTAAAACGTTTAAACCCGCTGCATTTGTTTGCACTTGTCCTAAGTCAGGAATCTGATGTTCAGTAGTTGTCGTTTCTTGATGTGGTTCATAAGTGTTTCTCGTTTCTCGTTTTTTATATAGATTAGACCGTTGGTTTTCCCGTTTGAATGGTTTTACACTAGTTATTTTTGGGGCCCTTTATAGCTTACTGTTTGGTGTGAGCCAAGGCTCCGTTTTGAAGACCGTACTGTGACCTATAATGGTTTAATTTTATAAATTTTGACTTGGATGGAGAGTTGTCTCATTGGCACTCATACCACATCTTCTTATATCTATATTTAATCACATTTGTATCGGCGTCAACATTGGCAACTCATATTTCCTTTGTTTTATTTCAAATATCATTTATTCGCAGCGCTCCCCTGTTTAAGGTAGATGAATCATGGTTAAAAATCGTTAACACAATAGCCATTACACGTTTAGGATCTAAGCACAATAAACATTACACGTTTAAGATCTTAGCACAATAGACATTATACGTTTAGGATCTAGACACAATATACATTACACATTTAGGATCTAAACACAATAGGCATAACACGTTTAGAATCTAAACAAATAATGATGATCGAAAACATTTAGGAGGGCCATACATTTAGAATTTAAACACAATCCTAAACACGTTTAGACCTAAACATGTAACATTAACGTTGAATTTTTAAGCGTCATTGTTACGGTGTGACAGTTTGCAACGCGCCTTTTACCTTCGGATTGGAATAGGTGAATTGTTGGCAGACAACATTTCTTATATTAACCATCAAGTTCTTGTTTTCCAGTGGAAATCAAGTGTTACGGTCAGAAATGACATTTAAATTGTAGCCAACAAAAGACACAAATCAGTAATAGAATTTAACAAGATTCATTATACACAAGTTTACAAGAAGAATTACACAAATAGAAATGTCAACTTATCTGTCAAAATATATGTCAGATCTTTTGTCTTTTCTTTATCCGAAATTCTTCGCGGGAATCCAAACAGAATATCACGTCCAATAGGTCATAATCTAGTATAATGTAGTTAACGTGAATACAAATGTCAATGTAAAATAATTCCAGAGAACTTCTGAGAATGATAATGTCTGATCTGTAATTTCGGTATCTGTATATATAGTTGTCACGGAAACTTCTAGAACACTGTAGAAAGGAAACTCCTAGAACAATGTAAGAAGTTTAAATCATGCATCTTTTATTATGATCATTCTGAAATCGTTATGTAAGTCAAATAGAAAGTTCTTATCATTCCATCAGTCTCTATGATTGTTCCAGTGATTTCTACACTGCAGAGTTACAATATTATTTTGTAAACAACTTTAAGGCCACACAAAACAAATTAGGCCAACTAAATAAACATGATAGTTACAATATCATAGCACAAGCTATCAACATTTTTCTCTCGTGTCACTTACAAAGACTTTCTAAATTTCTCTTGTTTTGAAAATGTACGACATGTAAAGATTTCACTTGGTGATTTTATGATATAGATTGATCAAATCACCTATAATTACACTTTCGACTATTTTTTTTTCCAGGAAAATGCCAAAACGTTCTTTTTCAATTATTGTAGTTCTTGTGCTGCCAGTTTATGTTCTTGTTGCACGAACAAGTAGTTGTCCCAAGCCATGTATATGGCGGAAGAGAGGTGGATATGCGTCATGTCGGGATGCCTTGTTACGGTTCGTCCCTGTGTTTCCAAGCTACATAACAAAACTTTACTTTTCTGGAAATTTATTAGAAATAATTAACGCTTCAACGTTTCGAAATTTGAAAGGATTGAAACTTGTGTATGTTTCACTGATGCAGAACGGTATAACACATATCACAGCTGATGCTTTCAGTAATGTTCGCTTCCTCCTTGAATTGGATCTCAGTAAGAATCTTAAATTGACTTCGTCCATGATAGCAGATGCTGTAGCACAAATTAATTGTTTAAATTTTAAACAAATTATACTTAATAAGATGAAATGAGCAATGAACCAACTGATTTATACATTGCTTTATCCCGCTTTAATATTCAAAAGTTAAAAATGCTGGAGAACAATTTCGAAAATTTGAATATGACACTTCTAAGCGAAAATTTGGTGCAACTGAAAGAGTTGAGTTTTGGATATGGCATAATCTCTATCATCCAACCAGGATTTTTCCAAAAAATAGAATTACTAGATCTCCATTATAATCGTATACGATTAACAAATGATTTTTTTGGAAATGAAACAACCTGTTATTTCCCGAAACTTGTTAAACTTAACTTGGTGGCTAATTCCATTGCTAATATAGATAAACTGTTCTGGTGTTTAGATAATCTGAACTCTTTACGTCTTACTGGGAATCCAATTTTAGGTGTATTGAATTACACCTTTCTTAAACTTCCGTCTCTTGAAGTCCTATACATGGGTAATCTAGGATTCCGATTTAACAGAATAGATGATAGAGCATTTCAAAGCATTACTTTGAAACGGCTATTGTTTTTTAACAATCATTTTGTTTTCAAAAATGACATAATGTATCATTTTAATGAGATCGAAATTTTCAGACACAGCCCTAAAATAGAATATCTTGATTTACGTGGTAATGAATTCCCCTCTATACATGTTGTAGAAAAAATGTTATCGCCATTACAATCTTTAAGTCATCTTATTATGGACAACTGTCAACTGATTACACTACCTGAGAATTTGTTTTTCAAATTGCCCAACTTATCATATGTTTCATTAAACAACAACAGAATCTCATTGTGGAAAGGACATAGAGTATTCGGAAACCAATCATCTGTCCGAACGATGAAATTAACCGGAAATGCTTTATTAACTATAAATGACACACTATTTCCTCGAAATGCATTCAAATATTTATCAATTTTGTCACTAGGAAACAACCCCTTTGCATGTACATGTTCTAATGTATGGTTTCCTCAACTGGATACGAAAGGAAAAAAGCATTTTCAAAAATTACCCAGAATTGTACCATTGTAAAACGCCTCCTGAAAAAGACGGTGAATTGATTAAAGATGCAATACCAACAAATTTCGAATGTTCTACAGATAATGAATTATTCACTGCCATTGCCACATCACTATCATTATCAGGAATTGTGTTCGTTATCATTTTCAGTTTAATCTTCAGATTACGATGGCATATAAGATATTGGTTATATCTCTACCGTGTGAAAAAGAAAGGATTTTCTCTTATATCAAATGAGGAGACAGATTACAAATTTGAAGCATATGTAATTTACTGTGACAATGATCTACAATGGATTCGAAAAAAGCTTTTAGAAAAAATAGAAAACGAATCGGGAATTTCTTTATGCATAAGAGATCGAGATTTTGAAGTTGGTAAAGTATATGTCGAGAACATAATTGAAAAAATGACCGCAAGCAGGAGGATAGTTCTCGTTATATCTCATGATATGGTAAAAAGCAGCTGGTGTCTGTTTGAATCAAGAATAGCGCAGGAAAAATGTCTTAACATGGAATCTGATGCGTTAATAATTCTTATGGTAGAGGAGGTTTCCGAAGAAAATATGTCTTCAAGTTTGCGTGCTTTTGTTAATTCAGCATCATTTAGTAAATTTCCAACAAAAGAATATGACGAGAGACAGTTCTGGCTGAAATTGACAAAATTACTTCGAAAAGAAAAATAGAATTGTCATTAACAAATCCTGAATAAATCAGATATTAAAATAATTATGGTAGTAGGCTTCCAGCATTTGCGAATGAATCGCGCAAGGATGTTCTTTTATTTCATTCACAAAATGAAAGTGCTGTTTTCTGCCAGAACACACACCACTTTATGAAGGAACATTTTTTGTATAGATAACTTCATAGTAACTTCATGTGCATAGGATTTTTTTTAAATTTTAGAAACAAAATCTTATACATATTTTTAAATGAAACACGTTAATAGATACATGTTAATCTATTGATTTAGAGAATTTATATCAATTCATGTAACATTATCTCTTTATCTTGATAAATACATCTTAGGTTCAACAGTTTATATTTTGTTAATTTTTTTTTACATCAGTAATTATGTATCAGTTAAAGCATAAACATAATTAATTAAATAATCAAATTAATATCAGTTAGATACTACGGCTTTGACGTTGTTATCATTTTAAGTGTTGATCAATTGTCTCTCCAATTTTCTTATTAGTCACTACCTGCAATCAAAATTGGGTTACATGTTAATTTAAGTTGATTTGAAAAATCAATAATGGAATATACATGCATATAAATATTTTAATAGTTTGAACATTGTCTGATGGACCTGTGCGCCTAACCATATCATATAAATACAACAGATTTGACAAAGCAGCAAGCAATGTGATGATGAAATGAGGTAAATACTAAACGGAAATTTTAAAGAATGAAATCATATATTCCTCCACTTCAATGTCGTTTGCTCCACTTGGAGTAAAATATCTGACAGTTATATAATTACCACATCTTAGTTTTAGGTTTCTTTTGAACATTTGAATGTTCATACTATGCTTTGGTAACATAAACAAAACACACAAAAAAAACAAAAAACAAAAAAAAAAAACATAAAGATCCATTTATTTCGTAGGTACCAATTTTCGTGGAATGGGGAAAACTTACAGTTTCGTGGATATTTAATTTCGTGGTTTTGCAAAAGTCTGCGTTCGAACCTCAAGGGAATGTGTAATTATATAAACTTTTAAATTCGTGGTTCACATGTACCCACAAAATCCACAAAAATTGGTATCCCACGAATAAGAATTAAGGTAGATGGGGGGTCTAAATTAAAATCCATAGAATATTTTAATAAATTGTCAAAATGATGTTTATTTCATGCTTTTTTTCAAAAAATATAACAAAAAATATGGGTCACCAGGCTTTTTTTCACGCTACAGGTTGTGCGTAATTGTCAGATTGTGTATAGATTATGCATGGAAAACCAATTTTGTGTGATAGAAAGAATTCACACCATAGAATTTTAAGATAAAATATGAGAAGATAGCTCTAATAATATGCTTTCAGAAAAGAAATAGAAAAAAATGGGTCACCGGACTCGTTTTCTTGCTTCATAATAAAATAGGTAAATTTACAACAGATTCTATTATAAAAGGTACTTTATCTGAGTTATTTCCCCTTATGTGGCAAAGTTGAAAAAAAAAAGAATCAAACAAAAAATTCAGTTTTTTGTAAAATACAGCCGTAAATATGATAAAACACATAATTTCCTTATAAACATGAAAAGTCTCACACATGAATAACATACTACTTTCGAAATTTGCACATTTTATTAAAGATCTAGACCGATTGTTATCTGCTATTTTAAAATTCAAGATGGAGGAAGACATCCCAGGTACCTTAATCCACTGTAATCTTTCGCACAAATTTTTTTTTCTAGATTGAAGAAAAACAATTAAAAAAGATCAAAAAAAATCAAGGGAGCTATTTATATCGCAAATGGTTACAAAACGAGTTTATATACTGCTACGATAAATAACGAATGTTTGCACTGAAATAAGTTTCAGATAAAGGTTTCGGTTGAATGGTTTGTTGTTTGGTTTGAAACCGGTTTCGGTTTGCGAGTTTTGGATTTTGGTTTTCAAGAAACTAATGTGAAACCGGTTTGGAAGAAGAAATAGAACCTTTATCAAACCTATCATAAACTAAAACCAATTTAGAGCAAACAAATATGCTCAAAACTCGTTATAATATTGATACAAATATTTGAAAAATTATTGGATAATCATAAATCGCCATATAATAAAAAATAAGTCATCAATAGAAAGTCTATTTTTGATCACCACGATACATTCACCATCACACATTTTCTGTGAGGTTAAATTAATTGTTGCTACTTTGCTTCTCAACTTGAAACAAAAAAACACGACGAGTCTGTATGCAAATGACTGAATAAACATGTGATGAGGTCGTGTTTATTTAGTTCTAGGCCCATTATTCTCGTTTCGAATTGTTGCATCCCTTTTCGCACATTGTCTGTCTGTCTTGGTTTCAAATATACTTTTTTCGTAATTTCCAAATAATGGAAAATGATCCATGTGCCATTTTCTTCAAAATGTTTTAACAGCTTGTAGTACAAAAGCCCAACGTTTTCTGAAATTTTCCGATTCGTTCCAATGTTGCAATAGAATAAAATCAATTGGGCTCAAATATGCTCCTGTTTTGAATCAGTTGTTGATGTTCCTATAAGTCGGTCATACAAAATGTTGGCTACTTCAAATGACATGTTTGTAGTTGGAATGTCATTGTTGACTTCTAAAATCGAGAATTAAACCGGTTCTGTTCCTAGTAGCTTCAGTCAGCTAATCGTTTACTAAGAACAACAATCCCTGCCTCATTCTTTTCGGGAGTTGAACGTCGAAACATTTTCGTCTTATCATCAGAAAATTCCTCTGTAAATACCCTATCAATTCACGTTCTGTGTCATGTAGATTTTCTGCATTTAAATTTATTGCAGCACATTTCAAAGTTACGCATAATTATCATAAGGTAGATTAACTGTATACTTGGATTGTAATATAGCAGTGCACAATCGATCTAGATCTTTGCTTAAATCTGAAAGTTTTGAAACAGATTTGCAATTAATATTTGCAACTGTCTATTTAAATAAAGGAACATAAGTGATTTATTGCATTATTTAGACCAAATATTTGATTCTACTCTTATAGCATTATAGTAAAAAAAAAATAAAAAGGGTGTTTTAAATTTTTTTTCATTTTTTACCTTTTGCAAAAAAAACGAGTTCGGTGACAACACTTTTTATTTTTATTTTCTTAAAGCATATTATTAAACCTTTCTTCTCCTATTTTATTTCAAATTATATCCCATAGACTTTCTTTTGTTCTCCGAACGGTGTTTTTTTATGAATAATCTATGCAACATTAGGCAATTTAGAACGATTTGTAGCTTGAAAAATAGCACGGTGACCCATACTTTTTATCATGTTTTTGAAAAAAGCATGGTAAAATCTACATTTTGTCAAAGTATAAGAAAATTCTATGTGAGGAAATATATAGTGTTGATCCACCATACGTATGCAAGGTATGCGCAATAGTTTCAAATTTGAAAAAAACGTTTTCCAGTTTAACATCCTTGAAATGCAAAGCAGAATATGTGTCCGTTATCCTCTTAATTTCAGATGACGTTGCAGTAGCTATTGTGACCTGTTCTTGTTGAATTAGTACACTCGAAATAATCAAGTGAACTTTGGATGTGACACAACTAAATTGTAACCCATTTCCTCCACTAAATGTTGTCTAATTCTTGCTGTCACTACAGTTCCACACAATTATATTTTTAGTATTGGAAAGAATTACTGTTTTGTAATCGCATTACAATGTTTGGCTATCATTTGTAGCGCTTGTAGTTATATACTAGCATTTTCTTTTCTCTGCTTTAATATGAACATATCCTATAATTTATGTTGCTTCAATCGTACAACAAAGCTAGTATAGGGTTACCAATGGCATTTTCGGGTTTTAAACATCTGTGAAATTTCAACAATTTATTGTCGAAAAATCTTGGTTCTGTTGACATAATCCATAAGCGAATCGGTTTGGGTTTTGTCATTTACACTGTTTTTTATTCACAGTTTTTGCATGAGAACATTTGCTGCTAAAATATATGGAAGAGCAAGTCCTAACAAATCGTACTCACTCACTCGATACTTGGCTGAGTACCATACTTGGATTAAATGATGTAGGAGTACAGCTTCAATCTGTGATTTCATTACATATACTACTATGGACCTTTTTGTACGAAGGAGAAATGTTTATCTTCACTTTGAATATTTAAAAAAAGTCCTGTTTTGGATCCATCTCATTTCGACATTTATCTCACAAAATAAAACTGAGAGGCTTGAACAAATTGGTTTAAACGACAGTCATTGTATGAAATGGGCACTTTTGTCCGGTATGTTCACATATGTAGAGACGTCGTTTTCGGTTTATTTAGATTTTGATTTTGATTTGTCCTTACAATTGTTTTGTGGCAAGCGACACTTATGATTCATATGCAGACGAAACGTGCGTATGAAGTACAAAATTATAAGTCTGGTATCTTGATGAGTTTTTGCGAGTAAACTGCGCAAATATTTTCATTGCATTGATTCGTGTAAGTACTAAAGTTTTACATAAATTTCGTGTTTACTATTTAATGTATTATCCTCGAGAATTGGATAGTTTTCATGTAAACATACTCCTATACCCCTTTTCTTTTTCATTTTCGAACCCAAACATAAGACTTTTCTAATTTTGAGGAGCGTTCATTATTTATTGGAAAGGTTTCAACAACACTAAAATTTGAAACATTATATAAAGTGAATGCTTGTTTAAAAGACGCCTCTTTGATTATATACCAAGAATGCTACAATAGTTTTAAACGAATTAGTTTTGTTTTCTAATGAATTGTCTTATGCTTATGTTTTTACCATGGTTATGCTTTTTCTGTTTACATGATTTCTTTTTAGGAAAAAATCTTCTACTTCGATTCGTCTAACTCGGGAAAATGTACAACTTTATGTTCAAACGTGTAACAAAATCACATTAAAGAACATCCATCATTTATTCATTTTCAGTTCTTACCAGACCATTATTTTTTATTATCCTCTTACCCCGTCTTCCGCTAAGTAAAGGGACTGGATTTTCGTAATTAATTCACGTTTGACTCTAAGTAATTCAAAGCCGAAATTATATGTTATCTGTTCAATGGATGAACATCACCGACAGTTTTTACACATGTAAGATATTTGTAAATGCCAAAATACAACCAAAAGATAAATCTTTCTTAACAGGGCCCTTTCTTAAGCTGTATTTTAAAACATGTTACTTATTTTGTATCATACTTTTCTTTGCAGTTATTGTTTGTCGCCATTTTGTAACTTAACTAAACCTGCCTCAACTCAGGGTTGATTCCAGTTTAAAGCAGGTAGGTTCAAAAGGTCAAACTCGATTGAAACTTGAGTAAACTCGACAAACTCTACAAACCCGAGTTGGACGAT